TCTTTGTGCTGTAAGTGGGCCAGAGTCTAGACCAGCGCAGGACTGGGAGAGTGGGACGCAGGCTGTGGCCATGCGGTGTGTGGGTGTGTGGAATATCAATGTCCTCGCTGCCCGTGTGAGAGCAGCTGCTATTAGTGGCATTTAAGGTGGTCCCAAGGCTTTGTGTGTTTCCTGTGACGGAGGATCATGAGAACAAGAGCAGCTCCGTGTTGGAGAAAAGTGGGACATGCGAAAGAATTGATATTTGCATTCAACAAAAACAATATTATTTACATCCATGTTTATAGTAGCAATATGTAAGAGTTTCATGTTAAGTCGTCATTAAAGGGCCTTAATCTGTCAAAAGACTTTAATAAAACCTGTTCTTTTCCAATACTTCTTTAACTGATCACAGTAGTTCAGAGACATTTGATTTCAAAAAATGTTTTACAGCCCTTATATCTTGTAATTGTTTTCATTTCGATGTCCCGCCCTCCACCGTTTCACCAATCAGAAAGTCTGTGATCCGGGCGCCAGAACTCACCGCGTGGAGCTAATCTCACTGGTAAAGTACCATGTGGAGCTAATCTCACTGGTAAAGTACCATGTGGCGCAGAACTAAAAAAGGTCTCGTTATGATTCTCAAATCATTAACAACAAAACAAGGAATAAAAGCAGGATTTCTATCTTTGTGAAAAAGGTGTTGGTTATAGATTTGTTGTTGACTAAACTCTTGTCTATTCAGCTGTTATGGTCCCAGCTGGATTCGTCTGCATATCTGGCAACCTGAGTCAGGGAGAGTGGGAGAGGCTGCAGTACCACTTTTGACCACATGTTTACACACTGCTCCTTTAAGGATATTGTTATTTCAGTCATAGTAGTTGTACATAAGTTGTTACATGAATACATTGTTAATTTAATTGCTGTAAAATAAAAGGATATGGGTAAAATTGCAAAGCATTTTATAAAAACAACAGTAAAGTGCTTTGTGACCGTGAAAGGTGATATATAAATAAACAATACTTACTTTTTTGATTCTAAGGGAGCATGTAACTGATGATGAGAGATTTGATTAGATTATTTAATTCTGTTATCAAGTTTAAATTTCTTGATTCTGTTCATATTTAACAATGAATCATAATTTTATGACCATACATGAATGTGAAAGGCAGACCTCAGATGGGAGACCTCAGGGATCACCCGGTGCCACAGTGGGGCGGCTGCGGCTGTAAAGTGCCAAACTGTGGCTGTGTCCTTTGGCAAGACACTTCCCCCACATTAGAATGAGTCTGGTGTGTGTGTGAATGGTTGGTGGTGGTGGGAGGGGCCGATGGCACAGACTGGTTGCCTCGCTTCTGTCAGTGTGTCCCGGGGCAGCTGTGGCACCACCGTGTTTGGAGTGAATGAATAACGGCATGAGCGTCCTGAGAAGCGCTGTATAAAACCAATGCATTATTATTATTATAAATGCTGTAAAACAAGCATACATAAACATATAAACATTTCTTTTGTCTTGCTCTCCTTGCTATAACCACTGGATCAATCCCACTCTGATGTGGACGATCTGTATGATTCTGTGTTGGACTGTGACCTCATACATAATGCAGACTGAGTCCCTGGTCGGTCGGGGCTGGGGGCCGCTCCAGCTGCTCCGGGCGCAGACCACTGTTGAGAACCGCTGGTTAATCACACAGCTATGAATAATACAACACCGCTCATTTAACTCGGATCAATGCAGGATTTCTTTCGTTCTGGTCGATTTATGCTCAACAATTAATACAAAACGATAACAATCACACGGGAGGAATAACAATGGCATTTTAAGATTGGGCTTTTTGCTCCTGTTCTCATTTTATAGACATTTTACACCACAGAATACATTACTTTTTGTACACCTTGGCCAATGTTTTTTCTGTTTTTTATTAATATATATATTTCTTGGTGGCTTCAGTTTCCCGTTTTTCTTCAGCTTCCTGCAGTCGCTGTCTCCGCCCCATGTTTCTCAAACGTCCAATGAGATTCTTTTTTAAATGATTTTTTTTTAGCTATTCTGGAAATCTTACTGAACTCGTGCAAACTGCAGAACACTGATCTTTTTTATCACCAATTGACCGCCGCCAAGTTCTTTGTTGTACCCACTGAGGAAAGCGCACAGACGCCCTCTACTGGTGTCTCTTTGCACACACCACCATCGCCAACGTCTTTTGTATTTACAGATGGTATTTAACCCTCTAGGTGCAAACCGCGAACGCTGATCTTTTTCTGATTCTGTCAAATAACGCCACACCGCCGCCACCATCTTTTTTGTTTCTTCAACTGAGGAAGGAGCACAGACGCCCTCTACTGGTGACTCTAGACGCCACGGTTGACTTAACTTGACAATATACGGTCCTGTTTAAAACGGCCATTTGTGTCAAAACTCATTCAAACTCCTGCCTCACATTATTTTGCTCTGTTTTACTCTTTAACAGACCATTGAGTACAGTACAATGTGAGTTCTGTTTGTGTGTTCATGTCCTAGTGACCTGTGTCTGTCGGTAGAAAAAAGTACTTATATTCCATGAAAGTCCACGATTGCCACCACCATATGACGTCATGATATGCAAATTAGATGGGTGCATTTAATTCCTACATAAACTTTGGGCTATCCTTATAATGTCTCTAATTTACATAAAGCCTCTGTCTCTGTTCACTTTTAAGTTATGAAGAAATTACGGTAAAATGTCAAAATTGGGCTTCTTAGGAAAAAAACCTCTGGCGCCTAAAAGGTTAATGAGGAAATCATCGGCCGATACCGAAGTTCAGCCGATGCATTCGTACTTTATTTTTCTGTTTTTTACCACATGGTTTAACGGAGGTGGAACCATACACACGACTTTACAGGACAATATTTCTCTCTTGGCACATTTTTTATATTTTTCAGGATTTCCATTCACCCATAATTATACACTACTGAAATGACTGGACCTTTAATGCTCATTCTTTCTGTTCCGTAACCTGCAATGCAACACTGAAATTTCCCCACCGTGTGACGAATGAAGGATCTCATAATCTTAATCCTATCTGATGTTATGGCAAATTAAGTGTTGTTTCTACGAGATCTTAAGATATTTCTACAGTTACTTTAGAATCATTTAGAAAGGTTGTTTTTTTTGGTAGATTCTGAGCCGAAATTATGTTTTAATCCAACGGTTTGTGAAAATTGGAGAAACACTTATAATTGTTCAAATGGTTTATGCTAATGATTTAAAAAAGCGGCTAACAGCAACATCTGGCGAGAATCAAAGCTGTGAAATTAAAATCCAACTGGCTCCAAACTTTCTTTTTGTGAAAAACAACTGATGAGATTTTTATTTGACTAGTTACATAAAAACATCCTCAAGACCAATAAAACGTCTTCACTCCAATTTTAGTTGTGCTCTACCTGTTTTTTTTTTATTCCTATTCGAGCTAAACATGTATTTCCCCAGACCGGAGCTGGAGGTTTTGACCAGCTAGGAACAGGTTTTGGGTGGTGGGTGTAACCGGAGCGCTCGGAGGAAACCCACCCAGACATGATGATGATGATGATGATGCTTCGATTTTATACAGAGCTTTTTTGGACACTAGGAACCTCCATCCACAGACACCAGTACACCATTGGGGACGAGGTGGGTTGAGTGTCTTGCCCAAGGACACATGGCAGTATTCACCAAAGGAGCTGGTTTCACTCTGCCAACCAATCCATATGTCTGCATCAGGATTAAAACTGCTCAATATCAAGCAACTATAAGCTATTATTGATCTAGCCTTAGTCTTACCATGTGTAAGCTCTGGTCCATGATCATTTCCTACATGTACGTCTGGTCTTACCATGTGTAAACTCTGGTCCATGGTCATTTCCTACATGTACGTCTGGTCTTACCATGTGTAAACTCTGGTCCATGGTCATTTCCTACATGTACGTCTGGTCTTACCATGTGTAAGCTCTGGTCCATGGTCATTTCCTACATGTACGTCTGGTCTTACCATGTGTAAACTCTGGTCCATGGTCATTTCCTACATGTACGTCTGGTCTTACCATGTGTAAACTCTGGTCCATGGTCATTTCCTACATGTACGTCTGGTCTTACCATGTGTAAGCTCTGGTCCATGGTCATTTCCTACATGTACGTCTGGTCTTACCATGTGTAAACTCTGGTCCATGGTCATTTCCTACATGTACGTCTGGTCTTACCATGTGTAAACTCTGGTCCATGGTCATTTCCTACATGTACGTCTGGTCTTACCATGTGTAAACTCTGGTCCATGGTCATTTCCTACATGTACGTCTGGGTCTGATCCTAGTGGCTGCAGTTTCCTCGGTTGAATCTCCTCCGACCAATCAGACTGATTGTGAGTTTCTGAGTTTAGGGTTAGGGTCTGAGTCCTGTCCCTTCATGACTCCTGGTATCTCTTCCATATTTAAAGTGCTAATACTGCATTTCCCTCACACATCCTTGACAGAGACACAGCTGCTGTTTTTTTTTTTTTACCCAGAAAGCCTCACTGTATCGCTGCAGGTAAATTCTGTCTTTCACTATAGCGTACTACTGTAAGAGATAGATGGTTATGATAAATAGATTTGCTTTTGCGGCACTTAAAGGGATTCTGTGCCACTTCCCAAGAGAAGGAAGAAAAAAGTTACGACAAAAAAGAACCAAAAGTAAAAAGGCGGTGGGTGTAGTTTGAGCCGAGCAGAGATGTAACGGCAGAGGCGGGGAGGAGAACAGCGGCGTATGGAGAATATTAATGGCTTGTCAGGAAGTAGTGTATCTTTTAAGAACTCGCTGTGGAACCAGAGACATTGAAAATCAGCGGGAAACACACTCAGATATGAATAATAATGGGTTCAAGACCCTTTACTTTACTCACGTTTCAAATGGACCTTTTTCAACAACATGAGTAGTAAAATCAGTGTTATGTGGAGAATGTGTGTAGCTTTAAGGCAATGTGTGTAGAGTCAGAGCTATGTGTGTAGTGTCAGAGCAATGTGTGTGGCGTCAGAGCAATGTGTGTAGCTTCTTCTGCTTCTTCTGCTTCTTCTTCTGCTTCTTCTGCTTCTTCTTTTTCTTCTTCTGCTTCTGCTTCTTCTTCTTCTTCTCCTTCTTCTTCTGCTTCTTCTGCTGCTTCTTTTTCTTCTGCTTCTGCTGCTTCTTCTGCTTCTTCTTTTTCTTCTTCTGCTTCTTCTGCTTCTGCTTCTTCTGCTGCTTCTTTTTCTTCTGCTTCTGCTGCTTCTTCTGCTTCTTCTTTTTCTTCTTCTGCTTCTTCTGCTTCTTCTTCTCCTTCTGCTTCTTCTGCTGCTTCTTTTTCTTCTGCTGCTTCTTCTGCTTCTTCTGATTCTGCTTCTTTTGCTTCTTCTTCTTCTGCTTCTTCTGCTTCTTCTTCTGCTTCTTCTTCTTCTGATTCTGCTTCTGCTGCTTCTTCTTCTCCTTCTTCTTCTGCTTCTTCTTCTTCTGCTTCTTCTGCTTCTTCTTCTGTCTCTCCACATACGGTGAAGACAGAAGCGAGACGCCAAACACACTGGACCATCAAAGCCTCCGACCAAACACCATCCATTCACTCATAAACGTTTTTAGTGGTAGGAGAAACAGATGCATCAAGAGGAACCCTAAGCAGACACGGGGAGAACATGTATAGTCCTCACAGAATCAAACCCAGGACCTTCTTGCTGTGAAACACAAGCTCTAACCTGATTTTTTTCCCATATGAATAAGACTTAAAAGCAAAATACATGAGTTACTTTGAGTACTACTTCAAACACAACGGCCACAATCTCGGTGATGTAGCCGGCTGCGTTCTCCTCTATATAAACTCCTCTCCCATATACGTCTTCCACAACCGCACTCTTTGTAAGTGTGTCAGGACCCCTGCTTGGAAACCTCCCCCCACCTGTCGACGGAGGAGAGGGCTGAAGTGTGTCGCTGCAGGAAAAAAGGGAAATATAAAAAGCGTGTGCGGAGAGGTGCAAGTGGAGCGAGTGCAGCTGACACTTATTTAAGTCATGATGCAAGTGAGAAATGTCTTTGTGCAGGTCTGTGCTCCGGAGCCAGCGTGAAGGCCGCCATCACAGCTGTCACGGAACCAAGGCGGCTTCCACTCTGTATGAGCTGTATTACCTGCTCCTTTATGAATCCCACACATCTGACATATCGGGGAACATGTAGGATAACGTATCAAAAACATCAAATGCTTTTTTCTTTTCACTTTGACACGGTTTCTCTGGCGTCTTGATGTCTCCAGTCTCTCAAACTCTGTCTGTTTCTTGTGCATCTTAGACTTGGACTTAGACTTTATTGATCCACAGGGAAATTGTGTTGTAACAGTAGCTCGCATTGTATTTTGCATTAAAAAAATAAAAATGGCATTATTAAGTATTAATCTGAAAATAATAATAATAATAATAAGTAAATATTGAAAGAATAAACTTGACATACTATAAGGACATATACACAATCCTTAAAGGTATATAGCAGGATTATCCAAATTTGTAGAAAAGAACCGCCCTCTCCACTCTGCTTGTCAGAATGATTGACAGTTGGGAGGACCAATAGTCTCGATGATCCACCCGGAAGTAGAAAATCCTCCTATACACCTTTAAGCACATACGCAAAACAAACAAAAGTGAAAAAAATATCTATATCAATTTGAATATGACATTGAGGATACTTGTGGCCATACCTGCATGCAAAAGCTATATCCCCTAAGAGCTCTGAAGCTGTGCAGGGCAGGGCCTGGTTAGTACTGTGATGGGAGACCTCTGAGAACACCAGGTGCCACAGTGGGGTGTCCTTAGGCAAGACACTTCCCCCACATTAGAATGAGTCTGGTGCGTGTGTGAATGGTTGGTGGTGGTGGGAGGGGCCGATGGTACAGACTGGTTGCCTCGCTTCTGTCAGTGTGCCCCAGGGCGGGTGTGGCTACAGTAGTAGTTTATCACCACCGTGTTTGGAGTGATTGAATGATGACATGTGAAGAGACTTTGAGTGTCCAAAAAAGCGCCTTTTAAACTGTTGCATTTTTATTATTAATGTTCTGTCGAGTTCTTTTCATGTTTTGTATTTGGTTAAATATTGACTCTTTATTTCTTGTGTTGATGGTTTTGGTTCGAAACTGCAGCACAGAGAACACACACAGTCCATAACGGAGCAGGATGAATATTGCTTCATCGGCTCTTTTATTTTTTAAGGCTCAGTCGATTGTAATTATGGTGAAATGTGGAGTTTTGGAACGAATGACCTGATTTGATTCTGGCCTGGTTTAAAACTCATTTGGGTTGACCTTGTAAAGGACTGGGCAATTAATCTATTTCACAAAATGAATTGGCCATTTCAAAATCAATATCCTGAAATCTTTTTTGTAGATTTCAAGTGTGTGTGAAATATCTAAGCCCAGTACAAACCATGTCTTAACTGATTTTAAACTTATTATTACTTACTTTAGTCCAACTTTGCATTTGTTTAAAGTGATGCCATGTTTACAGAGGGGTAGAGAGAAAGATTCCCGCACACCTTGCTTCTTCTTACTTGCAAATTAAAATCAATTTATTAGAGGTGCGACGTTTCAGCGCTATGCCTTCATCAAGCTAATATGTTTACAGAGGGGAAATTAAACCTCATTGTAATTACACATACATTTGATAATTGATTAGTTAGCTGAATAGTCTTTCAAAAGGTCATTGAACACGGGGAATTGTTTATACATTTGCTCGATATAAAACGTAAGCGATCGACAGCATCTTGGGCGTCACGTGGCTGAGTTCCTCCAGGTGCTCCGGTTTCCCCTACAACATAAACAAGTACAATCGGTAAAATCCTCCAGCTCTTGGTGTCGCAGATTTGAAGTGTCTTTACAAGGATAACCTTCAATTACTTGTTACACATTGAGTTTATTGATTGAGTCCTAAAACTTCTGCTCAGTCTGTCGAAGCCTTTGGAAGGTTCAAAACAGGATTAATCCATTATTAAATTAATTGACAACTGTTTCAATCATTAATTTTTTTGCAATTCATTGATTCATTTGTCCAACCCCTGACAATGTAAAAAATCTGTTTGTAATTTAAAGGTATACAGGAGAATATTACCAAATTTTAGCAAAGAACCGTCTTCCCCAGAGGAAACACGTATCACCAAAATGATTGACAATTAGAAGGACCAAAAGTCTAGATCACAGGTGTCAAAGTCGAGGCCCGGGGACCAGATCCGGCCCGCGAAGAAATTATCTTGGCCCCCGGGATGATAGTTGTTTAGAATAAGAACCGGCTGCACATAAGAAAATACTAGATTATTTATTCAATGTTAAGGACATGTGTTTTTTCTTTGAAGGAAGCGTGTTTTTAATCAAATATGGTACACCGTGCTAGGTCTTGGTTCAATTATATGCAGTCATCTTAATGTTTTAATAAACATTGAACCAGTCCTGCCCTCGGCTTGTAGAAAATTAGTTGTTTTAGCCCTATGGTGTATTTGACTTTGACATCCATTGGTCTAGATGATCCACCCGGAGGTAGAAAATTCTCCTATATACCTTTAACTTTACAGATTTGTGATAAGTTCATATACAGATTTTTACGTGTATGGCCCTAATATTGTTTGACAAACTACTTCAAGGAAACCAATGTTGATGTATCTTCGAACGTATATAACTTCTCATTCCGAATGGCTCTTTACCTCCCCTTATTCTCAGATGAAATGCACAGAAGTGTGGTGTACGGCGGCTGTAAACACATTGCTAAGAGTTAAGCAGGGAGCAGCAGAATAACACGTACTGCCCCAGGTCGTTGTTTATGAAGGGAGCAGCAAATGTGACGCGCCGAGACTGCACAAGATGGATTCCTGCTGTGGAAATTGGTCTAATATCAGGAGGTTTATTCCCTGGGAGCACTTAGGGCTGTTGAGAACACTGTGGCCTATGACTGAAGGAGAAAAAATGAAAGACGGAGCGAGGCGGTAGATAATCAAACCCTCATCTTGAGCTTTCGACAGTCATTCGATCCACAGAAATATAAATTGGAATACAACGCGGCTCCTCTGCTGTCTTGTCATTATCTGTGGTGTGAAGTGTTCGTATGGGATTGACCTCCACTCCAAAGCCTGTAATGTTCGATGGCATCGTACGTAATCCAGAAATTACAGGGGGCACACAGGTTTCTACCATTTTTAAAACATATTTCTAATTTCATATTTTTGCTAATGAGACAAAAAAACAATCTCTTAATGTTCACCAAAATCACAACAGTATCTTGGAGAACTTTACAAAATCGTTGAAATCGTCAAAAAATATCTGAGTGCAGCCTTTGAGATCCTCTTACAGAGACTAGAGGACTGGTTGGCGTCGCTGGCACCGCCCTAAGTTGGTTTAGGTCTTACCTTGAGGACAGGAAGTACTTTGTGGAGATTGGAAACTGTCTCAGATCATATGACCCTGACCTGAGGAGCACCACAGGGGTCGATCCTGGGATCGCTGCACAATATATCAAAAAAATATCATTATCGCGATATTGGTGTGTGCGATATCCATGAGATAAGATGCATAATAATAAAAAAGTCAACACAATTATTTTTTATTAAAGTCAACAAAACAGACACATCAACATTCAACAAATACAACAAACAACCAAAAAAGTATATACATATATTCATTTGTGTGTCATTAATGTTGCGCTTTTTTAGTTATTTGTCTCGGCAGATGCAATTTTAAGTGAAAGACAAAAATATCGCAATAATATCGCAATACTAAACACTCATATCGAATATCGCTCTAATTTCCAATATTGTGCAGCCCCAGTTGCTACATGCTTCTGTGTGGTCAGCTAATACGCAGTAACTAGGACTCAAAAACGTCTCACTCTGGTGATTTTGCCCCAATTTTTTTTTTTTTTTCAATCCAATTCATTCTTTTATTGCCATAAATCACAACAGTAGTTATCTCGGATGACTAAAGACAGATCAGAGAATCACACTGTTCAAACTCAAGAAATGCAATGATTGAAAACACATGGAGCCATTTGTAATTTTCAATGAAATGCATTTAATTATTTAACTCATATGAACTCATAGCAAGGTGCTTGCACAAGTCTTGAAAGTTTTAGTAAGTATGGATTTTTGAAACACTGTTTTCCAGACCTTGAAAAGTCTTGAATTTTGTGTGAAAGTCTTGATAAAGAATGGGAAAAAAATTATGGTAGAATTTTACAGTACGCTCAAAGACATTGTGAATTTTGCATTTGTTCATTGACATTAACATTTCTAATAAACACAGTTGGTACAATCTCAACCAATTAATAAGTAGGCAGAAGGCACACAAGTATACAAGTACATAAAGTTAAGGTCTTGAGAAAAAAATATCAGTTTTAAAGAAGTCTGGAATTTCAATTTGGAAGAAGAGCAAGCACCCTGTTTTAGGCACCTGTTGTGACGGGAATTCATGTTTTTTACCTTCAATGCAAAGACAGTCAATTCCACTCAGAACATTTATTGTATTTGTTTAATGCAAGTATAATTTATATGGAGAAAAGAAAATATCACACTATTTATCAGTTCCTCAGTCCTTGAAACCACTATATTTTTGTTCCAATATTGTCCAGCTCTAGAACGCACATGTGTCCAATATGAATACAGGATACAGCAGGCAAAATCTTAACGTGTGGAGCTGGACTAAAGCACGTGAGCTTGATCATATCTGGAGTTTATCCCGAATAACTTATGTAATTAGTGTATCTGTTGCTCTTTTAGTGCAGTCCCTAATTAGCCAACAAAAGTAAATTCCCGTTTGCTAATATCAATCTTAAATTTGCACCCTCCAACGCTGATTTAAGGGTCTAAATTAGCAGCGAGGAAACCATATCTCCAGTTAATGTGCCGCGCAGGAAGATAACAGCGTCTCAAAAATGCCATCGACATTAGCATTCCACCGCCGTGCTGTG